TGTGCATCTAGTAGTATGTGACTGCACTGCAAAAGTAATTGCCTTCTACCAAATTCATTATCTCTTTTTTTATACCCACTTACATTAAAATCAAAAGGTTTACTACTGAGTAGGGGTGTTTATAGGTGTGTACTTTCAAAAGGACACCCTTTTTAAAATTAAATGTTTGAAAAGAGGTAATTTTCAACTTTTTTGGGGGGGCTATATGAGTTTTCTTTTTGCTTTATTACTCCAGTGATTATTTCCAATTGGTGCTCCATATATGTCCCACCTATCCTGCGAAGGATTAGCTTTTTCAGGTTTCCCCAGCAATCATAATATTTATTTCTTTATTAAATCTATTCTTAAATTATTTGTCAACCCAAAAATGTGGGTTACAGAGAATACTGAGAATAATATGCCCCCAGGGAAAACTAGTAGGTTATCCCACATTCAGGTAAGCTTCTAGGTTGCAAGCTAAAGGATAAGAAATATGCTGTTCCCAACCATTAAAACAATCATTTAAATCTTGTAACAATTTACATGATTATAATAGGGCTCCCATAACTGGGCTGCAAAGATCTGGACACACAAGCAAAGAAATGCAGAAGCTCTGACTTTTTGCTGCTATCTGTTATCCAGACTTTGCAGCCTGGATAAGGTAAATCGAATTAATAATAACAACTAGATCATGGGCGACTTATCTGCTAGTGACATGTATCCCTTTTGAATTCCCAGATATAACACTGACAAAGTTTGGTATCAAATCACAAGGTATGATTTCCTTCCTTTTTGGGATGAGAAGTAAAAGGTGTATGATATGGCAGATAGCTTACAAAAACTAATCCTCCCCCAAACACATGATCCACCCCCCATCCCTATCCAGGCCCTGCTATTCACATACCCTCATCATGTCATAGCCCTATCCACACCCACTGAAAAATTAAAGCTGTAGCTGCTGAAAGGTTATTCATATGTGAGCTACCTGGCAAGTCCAGAATCGCAGGGAATATATTCCAGGTGCCACACCCTGGGGACAACTATTATCAAGGAACAGTTGCCATGACATTTTACTTTTGAGCTTCCCAGGAACTTCTGATTGGCTGCTGCTGCAAGGAGAAGCCTTTGAAGAGATCCAGTTGAGGAATTCTTATTGGTTTATTTCTCATTACTGCAACTTTTCCAAATTTGGTGTACTCCCAGATGTGTTACATTACAGATTCTGTATTTTCCAGCCAACATAGCTACCAGATGGTAAAGGCTGTTTATGAAAGGAACTGAACATACCAGGAGGAGGTCCTAAAAGTGCCTTTAATAAGTGGTTGTTTATTATCATTTCTGTTGCTGATGATGCCTTCCAACCATGCTTGACTTTTTTGTAGCACACCGGCCATATCTGACCTGCAGGTTAGTTTTAGTTAAATGACTCTTGAATTGCATTATTTTTAATTTCTGCTAAATGTCAGCAATGTGAACTATTTTTGTTCAAGAACAAGGTGTACCAGTTTGGGTTTGTAACAAGACCCACCCTCTTTCTTTGCAAGTTCCTTTTCGTTGGTCTGAGGTCACAAAAATGCTTCCCTGAATGATGGATCTTGTACAGATTACTAAATGAAGTGTCTGTTTACACCCAACAGTGGTCAATGGAAGACCACTGTTTTCAATAAACAAATGTGTGATGCTTTCTAAGGGTCAGATTACCATGGTGGCAGCAGAGTCCTGTCTTTAAACATGGGCCCACCTAACCAAATGAGATGGATGGGAGATACTGAATTCCTCCCCTTTTGTAGCAGCTTTTCTTATAAAGAGACTCATTTCCAGTATCAGCTACTATTTTAGAGATTCCCCCTTTCTTCCACAAATAGAAGGAACATTTCTTCAAAAAGTAAGCCAGTTACAAGGCATGTGTGTATCACTTAAAAACAAAGTATGTGTTTTGCTTCAGAACTTTTCTATAACTAAATATATTTGAATCTCATATAATGGATCAGTTAAAGTTTCCTCTAGTCATGTAATAGCCAGTCGTTTTTTTAAAAGAAAATCTCCATGTGGGTTATCATTTCTCATTCAATGTGTGGATTTTAATATCACGTACAGTATGTTTACTGGGCAGCTACTGCCAATGTTCTGTACAATATTTTTTTCAGTTATGACTTTCTACACATATGTTGTATACAATTTCCAGTAGGAAGAGACTCAAGTGTTGGAAATTCACTGTGTGCAAATAAAGCAATCCCAAGCATGACACACTCTATCCATCAGTGCAAAAGGTGCCCCACAGTATGGCCAACTGAGATATTTGGGAATGGATGGTTTTGAAGGGAAATGTTGTAGGGAAGGTAATTTAGTGATAAAAGTAAAAGAGAGAACCAGTTCACGAAGTTGTAATTCATGTTAGCATCCACACTTGTTTTTTATAGCATGAAGCAACTTTGTCCCATGCATCAAACTGACAAAGAGAGTTGTGAGAGATTTAGTAGCAGCAAAAAATGACAACATATCATGATGCAGTAATACTCCATCTAAACCAATGCCCATTAATATACAATAAGATTTGTGTGGGGAGCAAGGATTTGTGGGTTATCTTGTGTTTTGCTGGTCTTCCATCTGTTCACTCACATCCAACTTTCAGAGACTTCATGGATTAGCTGTCTTCATTCTTTCTCACATTCTACAACTTCATTTAATGCTTCCAGGTTTAAACCTGTATCTTGCTTGATGGCATCAATCCAATATATTCTTTGCTGGCCTTGTTTTCTAGCATCTCCAATCATTCCTAGCATAATTGATTTTTCTAAGGATTTGGTAACATGATATGACCAAAATAAGGCAGCCTTATATTCTAGTGATATTTCTGGCTTGATGCAGACTTGATGTTTGTTATTTTTGCTGTCCAAGCTATGCACAGTACCTGTTTCCAAACTCATAATTTGAAGAAGTCTAGGTTTCTCCTTTCTGCTTTGTTGTTGTCCAACTTTCACAACCATATGTAATTAATGGGGAAACAATAGCATTTACTATTCTATATTTGGAATTAAGAATGATGTCCTTGTTTTTCCAGATCTTCTCTGTGCTAGTCATTGCAGTGCAACCAAATGATATTCTATATTTAATTTCAGGTCCAGTGTCTCCTCTTGGAGTGAACCAAGGAAAATAAATAAAGTCCTGAACTAATTCAATTTATTTATTGTCAGTTTTTACCTTGACGTCACCTTGTGTTTACAGATAAAGAGGGGAAAAAAGTCCAATATGAAGGAATAGGAATATGTGAACTAGCCAAGATTTGATTCAGATTTCAGATTTGGTTTGTATTTGAAATTCAGATTCCAACAGGATTCCATATGAATTATTTTGAGAACTGAGATTTGGTAAATGATTATACACTATAATGGAATGGTATAATGTCTGCTTTAATTTGGGGCAGATGCTTCAATTTTTGGCAGAATGGGAAGAAAAAAAGTAGTGATATGTTAACCCTGCAAAATTTCAGCCAAATAATTTAAAGAGTTTCACTACAATAAAGTTTTGAAATATCCCCTTGTTTTTCTTTTAATGAGGGCTGAAGAAAGATCAGTAGCTGTTTCCAAATAGTCCATCAAAGGGCCTGTAGAGAGGATGGCTAAACCAGTGCAGAGAGAGTCCTATTCCAATTAAAAATAAAAACATTCAAAGCTGCTTAAAAAGATTGAAGAGACTAGTGTTGTTTGAACACTAGTAATTCTGGTCAGGCAGGTTTTTGACATGGCTAATGGGAAAGGTTAACCTCTTCTAGGAATCATTTATTATGTGCTGCTTGCCCAACAGTTAATAAAAATGTTTGAGATATGTATGTTAAATAACTACATTATTATATGCAATGAACAGTAAGCACACTATCTCAGACCCACTCAAGCAATGAAGAGGACCCACTAATTCACTCCAGGAAATGACAAAAAGAGACAAATATCGGAAAGAAAAGAAGAGGATTTCTAAAAATAAAAATTGGTGGAAAGAATAGGGAGAATTAAAGAAAAGAAGGAAAGGAGGGACAGAAAAAGCTGAAGAGCTTCAAACAGTCTGAACATGGAGATTCACATGGAGACTCACAAGAACTATACCATAATTCATAAAAATAGATTGATAGTTAAGGAAAGGTAAGGATAAAGTGTGGAGTATTAGAGGAAAGAAAATTTCACATACACACAAACAAAAGCAAACAATTTTTTAAAAGATCCAACACCCCTCCATCCCACTGTAAATCAGGGGATTTATGTTTAAATAAATAGGCTCCATTGTAATGATAAGGAGAACGGTTTTTTATTTTTATAAATGGCCATCCTGAAGATTTTGCAGATTATAGTTTCTATCTCATCAGACAGAAATTCTAAAAATAGAACAGACACTTTGTTCCTTTGAAATACCAATATACTTTCCTTTGTATTATATATGTATGTTACTGTATTCATTTGTGTTGTGACCTGATTTACTTTTAGAAGATATCTAGCATCTCAAAATATATTTGATATTTCAGGCTTAAAAATGGTTCTGGATAGGTTTTTAAAAAATAAATAATTAACTGAATCCAACATGAAGTGAAATCTGTATTCTCAAATCTGAATTCATTAATAAAGTTCTAGAAATAGCATAGGTTCTGCTTTGCAGGTAGAGGTAGTTTAGTATCTGGCTTTGGGATAAATTATTGATTGGATAGTTTTGATTTTTTTTTTTTTTTTGCACTGTGAAAGCTAGAGAGATTTCGATGTAGTACAATAGGCAAATTAATTTCAGGTAGCATTTTTTCTGCAACCTGATGTCTTCCAAATTGGTTATTCAGTTATATGTTGAATTTAAATGTATATTTATTTATTGGTTAGGGTTAGGGCTAGGGTTAGGATTAGACTGAGCACCAGCCCAACCCCATTGCCACTGCCATTACAATGACACTGTTGTAATATGTGAGAGAAAAGCTACATAGGTAAGCAGATGAACGATTACAATGTAAGTATGGTAGCCTCTCAACTAATCCATGTTGTCTGTTGCAGGTGAATGTCCTGAAGGCAGTATGAGCCAGAAAGGATCAACAAGCAGCCACCCTGGCTCTGCAAAGTAAGAAATCAAGTGTTTAAACAAATAAACTGTTGGTGAAAGAGAAAGCAACTGGAGAGGTTCAGAGCCATATGGTCTGGAATGTAATAGGAAGTATACTGAGGATATATACCTGGCAAGTCTGCAGATGCTGAAGAGTAGACTTGTAGTATTAACATTTTCACAAGACATATTTTTATTTCTAGCTAGGTTGGGTGGACATAATATAGAAATCAATGGGTAAGTCTCTGGTCATGCTCAGTAGATCAGTTTACATTTCTGATTCCCATTGTATAATAACAGGAACAACTAAATGGCTCTTCTGTGCCCTAAATCATTATGACTGAACATGGGACCTGTAGGAAACTACATTTCTGTTAAAATGATGATCATTTACAACACAAATCCCACTCTTACATACTTGAGTCCTGATGACTGACACAAGTGCTGTGTATAAGTCATGGTATTTGCATCATGGTTTTATGGCACATGTTTAATTCTTCTGAGATGAAGCATTTGTGTGGGAGTGAGGAATAATGGATTTTGTATGGAAGGACTGCAATCTCCATTCACTTCTGGCACACAAAACCCTTAATATTGCTTGTAAATAGAATCATAGATTTGGAAGGGGCCATTTAGTCAACCCCCCTGTTCAATGCAGGACTAAAACATCTACAGCAAAGGATTGCTTACCCTCTGGTTGGACACATCTACTGAAGGGGAGTTCATGGCTTCTCTCGGTAATTGGTTCCAGTGTTAACTACTCTGTTGGGATTATTTTTTTAAATAATATTCAGTGTTGGAATCTGTTTTCCTGTAACTTAAATCTATTATTTTATGTCCTGAATTCTTGGATTACAGAGAACAGGTCTTGACCTCTTTTGCTTCATGTTGGAGACTTTGTGGTTCTAATGAAAAACAGAGCAGATCCTTTAGCCTGAAACCAGCCTACTGCTGATTTATGGCACTGTAGGGATTACTGCTCCTGAAGAACAATGGCAGATTATTCATTTTTATTCTTTTACTATCACATGAGCTGGTAATTCAATTCAATTCAGTTCAATTTAATTTATTCAATTGAGATATCGCCTTATTCCAGACTGACTCTGGGCGGCATACAATAAAAGCAAACAAAATAGAAAATACAATATAATAAAATTATTAAAAATGGTAGGTAACTATGGACACATAGTAAGAGACAAAGAGCCTGAACTGTTGCAAAGTCCTTGCTCTATTTGAAACTGGCAAGTTACAAGAGGCATAAGAAGTCATAGTCAGGTGAGGAGAATTGAAAAGCTTATTGTCCAATCTCTAGGAGAAATTCCTGTGTTCTTCTCTGCAATTATTTGTTTGAGGAGTGAGAATGGGGAAAGAAAAAATGCAAATGCTGTTTTTAATCTCATGGAATGGAAAAATGGAGGACTTGCAACCAAACCTTGCTTAGGACTCTATGACCTGTTTTCCACATGGGATGTTAAACTCTTATTGAAATAAACAGTGAATTTGCTCAAAATCGAATTAAGATGCCCTTGTTTCACCTTTCTCTTTTTCCAGTGGTAGCCTGGGTAAAGCAGATGGTGCTGGCAAAATGAGTGCAAAAGATCTATATGGTAAGTCCACAGATGAAACATTTCATGCTTAATAAAGCTTGTTAAAGCATAGAAGGTTAGATCCAACTTTGTGTCTAACAAAGCAAGCGTTAACTTACAAAATGATGAAGTATGATCATTTGTTCGCATTTCAAAGTGAGTTATTGATTGCTAGCATAACATACACTGGGCTGTTTGAAGAAAATTGCCTTTCCATTTGCAATATGGGGTCATTCAACCAATTCAGCTATAGCCCAAGGGACCACAACAGTCAGGCTAGTAAGAGCAACAAGCATTAAAAAAAGCCATCGCCAGTGACCATCCAGCTACTTCTGAAATTCAGGAGAATTTAAGGGATAACATAATATAAAGAGCTGTGGCTATACAGAACATCTTGGTGTTACCATGTGTACACTAGGTGATAAGCAGTTTGTACTGCTCTCCAGAATGAAGTACAATCACTCCCACTTGGCTCCCCCTGCTTGTGCAAGCTGTTAAGAAACTAACTGATTTATCTGGTGCAATGTCTCTGCTTGCTAGGAATTCTGTTGGTTGCAGGCCCCCCTGGAAAGCACTACCATGTAGCAGAAGGTTGGTTAATCTATCATATACAATGACAAGAATTATAGCCAGGACTTGCCAGAAGATTAGATAAATCAAGAATCTCCTTTTAAATGTGTGAAAAACTGTTAGTTTGCAAGTTGTAGCATTTTAAGGGGGTTGTGGACAAAAATGCATCATGAACTCTTCAGTTGCCATTGTTATTTTTCTAAGCAGGTCTTGTTAATATGGCCAGAAATCTTCAGGTATAATTTGTTAGACTGAACTTTTTCCAAGTAGTTGGCCTGACCAGTCTTTATAAGTAGACTCACAAGCTTTCCTTCCCCCCACCCCCCCAGAAGACTCCTTACTTTTGCTTCTGTAAGAGCATTCATTTGCCACTGCAATTAGGCCAATGTTTCCAGCCTCCTTCATCACAGCAATTTGTATCAGTTTCACCTCTTGTTTCCTAGCTCTGGGTTGCCGCTTGTACCCAACCAGTATACTCGGGATAGCTTCCTTCCCTAGGTGAAGGAGTGGGAAGGTTACTGATGTAGGAATCATCACTGCTTGCTGTAACTGCATGCAGTGGCAAGTTGGTGGCCATCTCTTCTCTTTTGAAGGCCGGCTGAAAATATCATGCTTGAAAACTCAAAAGTTGAAAATGCAATTAGGATTTTTGTTGTTTATCATTTTATCCTGGCTGATTTGTTTTATCCTATAAAAACAAGCATGCAATAATGTTAATAACATGCTATTTTAATCTTTCTAGAATCTCTATTATTCCTTGTAGTGGGGAAAGACTATGTATGCCAAATATTGAGGGTGTTTTTTTTTTTAACTAACATATGTACCATTCAATAGCTGAAGTAGACTGTAAGTAAATTTTTTAAAACTTTGCTAGACTTAGTAGAGGATCCACCCTACTCAGTAGAAAGCAAGAGAAAGAGTGGATTGGCTAACCAGTTAAGCAGAAGAACCTAATGTCTAGTGGCCAGATACTGTAAGCCATTGATATGTAAAATGCCAGCTGAATTGTAGCTGCACCAGTTAAGGGCTGTGCATGTAGTGTTTCTGTTTTTTGTGTGTAGCCTTAACAGAATGTATGAGTTCTACTGTTTTATTTCAAAAACATTTCAAAAGATTAATTGATGGCATTTAAATTTTACGGTAAGTAAATAAGTGCAAATGAGAGGGCAGAATCTAATACATCTTTAAACTTAGCATTACTTTTGCTATCCTGCAATATATTATTCTGATAAGCCAGCCTTCCCCACTTGGATGCCTTCCAAATGTGTGTACTTCAATTCCAGAATTCTCAGTGATAGTGTGCTGATTGCAGAATTTTGGAAGCTGATATCCAGACATCTGGAAGTTGCCCAAATTGGAAGGCTGTGATAAGTTATCCTCTTCAATTTATTTTACAGCTGGTGCCAAGACAAGTTGTGGATGGAGAGAAGGGTTTAACAATTGCAAAGGTTCTTCAGGGATGGGAAATGTCCTGAGAGTTTAGGGGCCTTCATGCTCAGTAGGAGTATGAGCTTGCCTTCCACATCAGTGGTGTAGGACTTCTATTATCTTCTCCTTAGTCTTCAGTCTTCTCATCCTTGATTGCTTCTGAGGTGATCTTGGACTTGTTAGACAGCAGTCCCTCAATCATCCTGTCATCCTAGGCATTCTAGTATATAAGGGAAGTCCAGTATGAGTTGGAGAAGGAAATGAGCACATACTGACTTCTTTCTGGTATTCTTTGGCTTTCCAGTTATCAGCAATAATGTTCCTCAGCCTTTTCTAAAGCTAGCTTGAATATTTGGTATCTGCCTTTCCATATGGGGCTCTCATTTGCATTGGATGATCCTAAGCATTATTTTACTGACATGTATGTGGCATAAGGGTTTTAATGGCATGGCATGGCATGGCTTTTGTTCTGCTGGCATGAGCCAACCAGTGGAGTGAGTAGAAGGGGAAAAAGAAGTTCAGTTCTGGCATTGAATGCAGCTGTGCTATCACAAGAGCTGATGAGCTGACCTGGCTGCTAGCCAGGGCTGTTGCAGTGAGATGTCAAGACAGCAGTCCTGTTGGTCCAGCCTGGTATATAGGTGTTGGGGACTAGAGCCTTGGAGGGACAAACACCACCTCAGTTGCTGGGGGAACATGTTGCCAGTCTAACCTAAACATTGGAGAGAGAGAGAAGGAGAGAAGAGAAAAAGTCTGTGCACAGAGTGAACAGAGTGGCTGCAGAGAAATGTTGGAGAGGGAAGTTAAGCGTGCAGCACAGTTGTCAGTTCCTGGTTGGGAAGGGAGAAGAAAAGTCCATGGGTGGCTTCCCTAGAAGAAGAGAAGACCCAGGGGGACGAGAGCTGCACAAGACCCAAGAACGGGAAGGAAGGACCCAGCTGGCTGCAGGTGGTGGCTTGACCTAAGACCCAAGAGAGGAAGGAGGAGATCAGCTGTTGGTGGAGAAGCCCTCGTCTCTGGGGAATGACTGGACAGAAGACCCTGAGAGAGGTTCTTCCCCCAATGGAGAAGCAGTAGGTGTTTGGCTGGGCAGATCCAGGAGGAAGTCAAGCCATGCTGAGCACACTAAAGTAAATTCCAGCCCTTCCCTCCCCTCCCTTTTTTCTCTCTCTCATGTCAGGCCCAGAAACAAAGGAGGAAGCAGGACAGCTAGAGGGGATAGTCTCTGGGAGGGAGACTTAGGAGGAAACCTGATACTGGGTGATACTGTGTTGTATATACCTGTTGTAAATGCCTGCTATAAATAATATCGCTGTATATAGTAAAAAAGCTTAAAAGCTGTTGTGTTTTTCTGTGTCAGCTGCCACCCTAGCAAAACAATACATCTCTAGTTCAAAAAAAGCCCTGTCTCACTGTGACAATGTGAAATTAAAGATATCGCACATTAGTTTGCACACCCTGTTAAATCTCCTTTCTTTGGTATTGGTATGTAGATTGACCTTTTCCAGTCTGTTGAGCATGGCATTGTTCTCCAGATTTGCTGGCACAGTTTGGTTAGAACCCTTACAGATTCTTCTGTTGCTTGCTATATTTCTGCGAATAATCCATAAATCCCTGTAGCCTCCAACTTGGTAATGACTGGAGTGCTGATCTAATTTAATCTTTTACTACTAGAGATTCTTGGGAGTATCTTCTAAGGTATATCTCTACTGTACAGAATTTCAGTATACTTCTTCCATCTTTTATCTTCTTTGAATCAGTTACTTTATGTCCAGTGTCAACAAAGTATGATCTCTGAAAGGTTTTTAAATCTATTTGAAAATCACCAGAAGTGATTGGGTTATGAGATAATAATGGACTGATTATTGGACACAAGTACTCAACAAAACCCCTTCATGGATCACTGCCTTGTCGTGGCGAAGGGGCTTGCGTAACTCAGTGAAGCCATGAGCTATACCGTGCAGGGCCACCCAAGACGGACAGGTCATGACAGAGA